ACAAGAAATTCTGCTTGAGATATATACATATAACCATTTGTAAAAATCATTCCAGGTATGCTGAGAAATGCTTTCCTTGCAGCATGCCCTAGAGGTGATCATATTATGGATTAGTCTAATCCCCTCCGGAAGGTCATTCTACAGCTGAACTCCCTCTGCCTCCCACTCTTGTGTTTGTCACGGCTTTCATACTCTGCATTGTTTCAGAGTACAGCTGTCTTAGTGGGTCATGGCGAGGATGTGGTGTATGATATAGCTTGGTCTTCAGTTGCTGATTGCTTTGTAGATCAGGGCCAAGGCCTTGAACTGGCAAGAGAAGCAGACTGACAGCCAGTGGAGGGATCAGACCACAGTATGATATCCTCACAACAGCCTGTCTACCTGAGGTTTTCTGCCGCATTCTGCCTGAACTGGAGCCTTTGCATTGATTCCACCTTCAGGCCTAGATACAGGGCTTGGTTGGGATTCCCTTTTCATGCTCTCAAAGGAGTAGTAGGGCACAAGGAATCCCCTTACTCCCCTGTATTGGCTACCCACAATGTCGGTCTGTGTGTAGGAATGAGAGTGGCCTCTGTGGGGTTGCTGCTTCTGCATAGGATGATCAGACAGCAAGAGTGAAAAATCGGGATGGGGTGAGGGGTCATAGGTGCCTATATAAGAAAAAGCCCACAAAATTGGGACTGTCCCTATAAGATGGGACATGTGGTCACCCTACTCCTGCATAGGAGGACAGGCAAGGTTGGTGAAGTGGGGAGCCTTGGTTCTGCAGCCCCTCATCCCCACCCATGTGATCGCCATCGCAGCTGAGCTGATGTACAGGGGGAAGTAAGCTGCTAGGTCTAGAAGTAGCACAGCTTGCTTCCCCTGGAGCAAGAGTCAAGTAGGCTCCAGATTGTGACTGAGTCAGTTTCATTTCTGGTCTGCTTCTCAGGCAGCACAACTGCACACTGACTCTTACTTAGGGCTCATGGTTGACTCTACAATCTAGTCCACAGTGGTTTTGCAGGTTTCAGAGTGGTAGCCATGTTAGTCTGTATCAGCAAAAACAATGAGGAGTCCTTGTGGCACCTGAGAGACTAACAAATGTATTTGGGCATAAGCTTTCGTGGGCTAGAACCCACTTCATCAGATGCATGGAGTGAAACATACAGTAGCAGGTACATAGTACATGAAAAGATGGGAGTTGCCTTACCAAGTGGGGGGTCAGTCTAACAATTCAATTAGCAGTAGAATACCAAGGGAGGAAAAACAGTGGAATACCAAGGCCACCCTCATTACCACTACAAAAGTGATTTTTCCTCCCTTGGTATTCTACTGTTAATTGAATTGACTCATTAGATTGACTCCCCACTTGGTAAGGAAACTCCCATCTTTTCATGTACTGTGTATATCAGGGGTCGGCAATCTATGGCACGCATGGCAGTGGGCTGAGCCAGACCCCGGCAGGCAGCAGCGTGCCATTAAAAATCCTGCCCGACCCAGCCCGCTCTTCTCCGCCCACCGCCTACTGCTCTCTCTAGCGGGGGAAGGGGGCAGAAGCAAGCTTGGTCCTGCTGGCTGCTGCTGTAGGTCAGGCTCCGCCAGCAGCCAAGCTTCCCCCTCTCCCGCCTCTTCCCCCAGCATGCTGCGTCGAGCCCCGCCTCCTCTCCCTGCTGCCAATGGCTCTTGCGAGGGAGGGGAGAAGAGCAGCCCCAGTGCCCTCGCTGCTCAGACCGGTAAGGAGGTGGAGAAGAGGCAGGGGGAAGCGGGGTAGGAGCGGGGCGTATCCCTCCAGCCCCCTGCTGTGAGCCGCTCAGGGGGCAGGGAGCACCCCCCTGATTCCCAGCCCACCCCCCCAGCCCTCTGCCCTGACCCCTGCACTCCCTTTGCACCACAGGCCCCTGCATCCTCCCCCCATGACCCCATCCCTGATTCCTGCAGCCTCCACACATACCCAGCCCTCTCACATCCCATGCCCTGACTCCTGCACCCCCTCACATGCCCCCAGCCCT